CCCGTGTATTTGACCACGAAGATGTTGGCTGCCATGTGACCAAGAAGCTGTAGGCAGGTCCATGCCTGTATTCTGGGGCGAACAGAGATCGTGTGTATGAGATGAGTAATAGTGAGGAATCTGTTGTGTGGAAGCAAGGCTTTGGTTCAAATTGAGTACAAGTGAGCTCCAATGAACTCTATCTGCTATATAGGTATCAGGCTGGATTTTTGGAAATTTATTTGCAAGCCTAGACTGTGTAAGAGGGAGATGGTAGAGTCTGTCGCTTTTAACGTCTCGTCGTAGGAGCTGGCTTTGATAAGGCAGTCATCTAAGTAGGGGAAAAGTATAATCCTGTGTTTGCGGAGGTGGGCTACAAGTACAGCTAGGGTCTTGGAGAATACCCTCAGTGCTGTGGAGAGACTGAATGGAAGTACTCTGTATTGAAAATGGTCTTGTCCGAGTGTGAATCGCAGGGAGCGTCTGTGTGCTGGATGAATGGATATATGGAAATAGGCGTCTTGTAGGTTGAGGGCTGTGAACCAGTCCCCTTGTTCCAGTGCAGGTATGATCATACCCAGCGGGGAGGAGGGATAGCTCAGTGGTTTGAGCATTGGCCTGCTAAACCCAGGGTTGTGAGTTCAATCCTTGAGGGGAGCATTTAGGGAACTGAGGTAAAAATCTGTCTGATATTCTATGATTCACTGTAATCATCTTGAATTTTTGTACACATACAAACTTGTTCAGTCAGCGTAGGTCTAATATAGGTCTCCATCCCCCACCTTTCTTTTGGGTCAGAAAGTAGTGGGATGTTGCGTCGGTACGTGTTCCACTGTACCTAGGTGGAGAAGATGAGCCACCTCTGCACGGAGGAGATGCTCGTGAGAGGGGTCTCTGAAGAGGAAGGGGGAAGGGTGAGCGGGGAAGATAGGAAAGGGATGGAGTAACCTGACTGAACTATTTCCAGGTCTTAGCAGTCCTGCATGATCTGTTGCCAGACATGGTGGAAAGCCTGGAGGTGGTGGCCAAATGGGCAAATAGGTGGCAGAGTCAAAGGGTGGTCACGCAGACCCCCGACCAGCACCTCAAAATTGTTGTTTGTTTCCTGATGGGTGGGAAGTAGTTGGTTGTGCCTGGTTTTGCCTGCACCTAGGAGGTCTGTTGCGGTTTCTCCCAGTGTCATACGGTCTGGACTGGGGTCGGTGACATTGTTGTGTGTGGGGCCTCTGATAAGGTTGATACCGCTATCTCCGAGGGATGGATGGGTATATCCCCAATGTGTGCAAAGTGACCCTGGATTCTTTCAGAGTGTGAAAGACTTCATCGTTTTTTTTTGGAAAAGAGTTTATCTTTGTCAAAGGGGAGAGCCTCCACTTTGGTCTGCAAATTTTTGGGGATACCGGATGCAGACAGCCAGGAAGACCAGCGCATCACCACTGCAGTGGCAGTGGTGCGGGCTGCTGTATCTGCCATGTCCGTGGACACTTGTAGTGCCATCCTAGACACCAACTGACCTCCGACGAGGACTGACTTAAAGTCCGCTTTCCTGTCCTCTGGGATAGGGGAGGCAAAATCAAGGAGCTTGTTGTAGTTGTCATAGTCATAGCTTGCGAGGAGGGTGGAATAATTTGCAATCCTAAATTGTAGAGTGGAAGAGGTATAAACCTTGCGGCCCAGAAGGTCAAGGCGTTTGAGGTCCTTGTCTTGTGGAGTGGGCTGGTAGTGTGGCTGCTTTGTTCTGGGCATCGCTACATCCACCACAAGAGAATTGGGTTGTGGGTGGGAAAATAAGAAATCAACATCCTTCGCAGGCACGTAGTATTTACATTCAGCTTTCTTGCATGTTGGTGGGATGGAGGCAGGGGTCTGCCAGAGAGTATCAGCTGGTTCTAGGAGGGCTTCATTTATGGGTAGTGCAATCTTTGAGGGTGCAGAGGGTTGGAGGATTTTGAGGAGTCTAAGTTGTGTCTCCTGGACTTCTTCCAAAGGGATGTCCTGGCTGAGTGCCACTCTCTTGAAAAGTTCCTGGAATTGCTTAAAGTTGTCCCCGTTTTGTGGAGGTGGAGGCATGAGGGCATCCTCTGTGGCTGATGGTGAGGCAGGAGCCGGAAAATCCGGGAAGGGTTCAGGAGCTCTAGATGTTGATGGAACTGGGGATATAGGCGTAGGACAAGCTTGCGGTCTGGTACAAGGGGTGCAAAGAGGAGCGGTGGCAGAAGCCGACCACGGGTACCACTGAGGCCAGGGCACTGGATAGGAAAAGTTGGGTCCCAGCCATTGGGGGACAAAGTAGGGAAACTGAGGCTAGTTCCTATGATGCGCCATGTCTTGGGATATGTATGAGGGAGACTCAGGTGGGGAGAACTCTGCCAGCTGCTGTATGTTGTTCTCGCTGTCAGTGAAAGTAGCCAGGTCAGGTGGCGAGAGCTGCTGTTCAAACAGTGAGTGCTCCGTGTCTAGGAGCGGAGAGTCAGGCTCAGGGGCCACAGAGATATCCTGCTAGTGCAGAAATTGTTGCTGCTCCCTAGGCTGGTGCGCTGCGGAGCGTGGAGTGTGAGCGGCAGCCCGGAGTGAATTTTGATTGGCTTTAGTAGGGGCCACGAGACGTTTGTAAGAGCCCCACAGGGGGGTCTGAATCTGCTCCAGCGGGGGTGGCGGGCAGGCTCGATACCGACGTTCTTGTCGGCACCGGAGTGGAACGCGCTGCCGGCACCGGGTCCATCATTGGTGCTGGTGGGACCGGCGCCGAGGAAAGCTTCCCGCTGTGAGAAGTTGGGTCCCCAACTTTTGCGCCCCGCGTGATTTGCCACTGAGGTGTTGGGGCGATCAGAGTTGCCTGCTGTCGGCGCTGTCAGTGCCAAGGGTAAAGACCTTGCAGGAGATCCTTTACCCTTTTGAGTGTCTCTGAGAGGAGACATTAGGGCTTCCTGCCTCTTTGCGTGAGAGGGCGAAGCCGCACTCCCGGTCAGTTCTGACTTGGCAGGGGAGCGTGAGGGAAAGGGTTTACTGCTGTTCTCCATAGGCGGCTGCAGAGCTTTCTCCATGAGAAGCATTTTTAGCCACAAGTCTCTGTCATGGCGAGCTCTAGTTTTTAAGTCGGTACAGTGGAGACACTTCGCAGGGACGTGTGTCTCACCGAGGCATTTGACGCAGAGTGAGTGCCCATCAGACTCCTTGCAGGAGCCACATTTCTTAAAGTCTGGAGACCCCACCATAATGAAAGTATGAGCGGCCTCGGAAGTCTCAACGAGAGACTAACTTGAGGGGAAAAAAATGTTGTTATTATTTTTTTTAAAACTAACAAACTATGGTAAAGGAAAGGGAGAACTGGGAAATGGCTAACTAAGTATTTCTATTTTTCTCTACTTATTTCCTACAGTAACCAGGGAAGAGATGAGCACTGCCCCGAGTCCCGTCTTTAGCTGAGGACAGTTGAGAAGGAACTGAGGGGGGTGCGGGACGCGTGTACTCCGGCAGACCCTAATGCAGCCGCGAGACAGCAGCTGAACGCGTGCATCCCGACCAGGCACCGCTACCGAAGATCTCTGATCAACGGTGCCGGGACGCACCGTCACCTGGAGTGGAGAACCCACAGGAACCGCACTCGAAGAAGAACTTCTGTTCAGGAACCTTGCACTCTGCCATTGCACACACAGAGGATGGTGCCTCTTTGCCTCAACACGCCAACTTGTTTCCCCTATTACCTCGGCAGGGATGTGCCAGCTCCACTTGCATATTTCAAAGAGGCCACATGTCATAAAGCAGAGATAATTCCTCTCCACCCTCGGAAAGCTGCATCCAGTGCTGGGGCCCCAGGGAAGGCCCCTCCGGCAGGTATGTCCCCCATGTTCTCTCTCTGTGCTGCGTAGCTCTGACCTCCCTCAGCACTGCAGTCTGAATCATAGTCTTCTCTGGTCTAATAGGAAATATCCCAAGCATGGGTCTCTCTCCCCTCCTGGGGAGAGATGGCACCGCAGTCTGACAGCTTAGTGAGCTATTTAGCTGAGACTTGTATGTGAGTCCTGGTTGTGCCTCATTGAATCACACTGAGCAATTGCTCACTGGTCTTGGTGGTTGCACCTTTCTCAGATTACCTCTGTCAACCATTAGCCATCTTTAGCTTTTAATCTCCCCTGGTAAAATACTCTCTCTAGTCCTCTAACCCGCTTTTGCAGCCTGAGGACAGGGCCGGGGTTAACAAGGGCCCAGGCAGAGGCAGAATGACAACCAGCTGGGCTGGAGAATAGCTCCATTGTACAGACTCAAAAATGGGCAACAAAAATGATTAGGGGGCTGGAGCACATGACTTATGAGGAGAGGCTGAGGGAACTGGGATTGTTTAGTCTGCAGAAGAGAAGAATGAGGGGGGATTTGATAGCTGCTTACCTGAAAAGAGGTTCCAAAGAGGATAGAGCTAGACTATTCTCAGTGGTACCAGATGACAGAACAAGGAGCAATGGTCTCAAGTTGCAGTGGGGGAGGTCCAGGTTGGATATTAGGAAAAACTTTTTCACTAGGAGGGTGGTGAAGCACTGGAATGGGTTACCTAGGGAGGTGGTAGAATCTCCTTCCTTAGAGGTGTTTAAGGCCCGGCTTGACAAAGCCCTGGCTGGGATGATTTAGTTAAGAATTGGTCCTGCTTTGAGCCGGGGGTTGGACTAGATGACCTCCTGAGTCCCTTCTGATTCTATGATTCAGACTGCAGTGCTGAGAGAGGTCAGAGCTACGCAGCACGGAGAGAGAACATGGAACAAAACTCCGGAGAGTGTAACATACAAGCCTCACACACAGTCACCAGAAGCCCATTTCCCATGTCTCCTGAGTGACCCGAGGGGCAACAGCAGAGCTAACCAAGTCTGCAGGTTCACCCACTCTGTGTGGGGCCTGTGTACAGCTGCAGCAGTGCTGGTGCAGTCCTGGGAACAGGCATTGAGTCCAGCAGGGACCCTTCAGGCAGCTGAGGGACAGACGAGCAGCAGCCAGGGGCTGGTTCCCTTGTGTTGTTGCAGACTAATACTCACTCTTTAACTTGGAGCGCACTTTGTTTGCTGTCTTTTTGATGTCAGACATTAATTCTTCAAGCTCCTCCTTTGTTTCTAGAGGGAGAAAGGAGAGAAGAAAGATGGATGCATGGGAGACACTGAGTGAATCTGCCCCCAGCCTGCTCCACCCTGGTCACTGGACAGGACTCAATCTGCACCTGCCTCCCACTGGGCTTGAGCATCCAGCCCCTGCAGCACTCCTCCCCTCGCCTAGGGAAGGAGATCAGAGGGGTCACACTGCAGAGCAGGCCAGGAGCTCCCTTCTCCGCGGAGCCTCTGCCAGCCTGAGAGCGAGACCCATGGGACCAGAAATGTACCTGGGCTTCCCGCATGCCTGTGCCAAGGCTTCCACCCAGCCACTGAGTGGGCTGAGCCTTGCTGTCAGCTGTGCTAGGGTTAGCCGGGCTGTTCCCAAGTGCCCTGCAGGCACTGCCTGTCTGGTGCTCAGCAATTAGGGTGACCAGATGTCCCGATTTTATAGGGACAGTCCCGATTTTTGGGTCTTTTTCTTATATAGGCCCCTATTATCCCCCCACCCCCATCCCGATTTTTCACACTTGCTGTCTGGTCACCCTATCAGCACTAGACTCTCACAGAACTCAATCACTTGGCTTTTGTCACTTCAGCAGGGGCCCGATCAGCAGGCAGGCGTCTCCCCACCTCCTTCCCAACCAGCAGGGAGAAGGGAAACGAGCAGTCACCTGAGACCCGAACTGCGGCAGGCTAGCAGGGAACACAGCAGGAGAGAGATGCTGTTCAGCGCTCCAGGCCAGGCGTGTGAGAGCAGTGGCACTGCCCCAGGCTTCAGCTACACAAACACGGCCAAGCGCCCACATCTCCATGCCCAGCACACTTGCAGGATCTGGCCTGACTTGGCCAATTCTCCACAGGCCACTATAAAATGGTTCGCCCTTCTCAGTCAAAGCCCTACGGCCTCTCTGCAGCAGCCAGCCTCTTCTCTAGCCCTGAAGCCTGCAGCCTTCAAAGACACTGCTCTGCTAATTACCAGACTGCACACCCACCTGCTCCCCAGAACTCACTGCCTATGGCAGAAATATAGGGACTGAAATGGCACCACATCTCAACGCATTCACAGGCCCACTTCTCATGAATGTTTCTGGCTGGTCTGTCAGCAGAATGACAGCTTAACACAACTCTCCTTTTTCAGCACTGGAAGGAACAAAAGACTTACAGTTGCAAACAAAAATACTAATAGGGGAAGGCAAATCATTTCCCTTCCATCAGCAACCCAGCTTCTCCAAATTACCTCCATGTAATGAGCACATATCACTCAGCGTCCCCTCCAGGAACCAGCAGCGTCAGTTCCAAGGATATGGACAATGCAACTCACCTCAGTCATGCACACTCCACCTAGGAGAGCAAGCTTTGCTGAGCATTAAGGCACCAATAATAATTCTCTGTATTCCTCTAGAGTCTTCCATCCAAGACTCTCACAGTGCTCCATAGACGTGATTAAACCTCAGCACTTCTGTGAGGCCGGGAATATTTGCCTCCTTTTACAGATGAACAAATTGATGCACCGAGCACATCAGTGACTTGCTCAAAGATGAGGGAAGTGAATAGAATTCAGGGCACCCGACTCCTTTATGTTATTACACACAAGACTATCCTTTCTGTCTAACTGGGGAGAACACAGAAACCAGGCTGTGAGGATCACCCCCACTCACTTAATAATAATTATTATATTTTAATAATTAGAATGTCTCTAGGCACAACCACAATTGTTATTACATTACAGGACTCAATTTGGCACTGGCGAGGCTTCAGCTGGAGTACTGTGTGCAGTTCTGGGGCCGAGCAACAAAAATGCTAAGAGGTTTGGAAAACCTGACCTGTGAGGAAAGGTTAAAAAACTGGGCATGTTTATTCCTGAGAAAAGGAGATGGAGGGGGGATCTGACAACAACCTTAAAATATATTAAAGGCTGTTCTAAAGGATGGTGATCAATTGTTCTCCATGTCCACTGAAAGTTGGACAAGAAGTAATGGGCTTAATTGGCAGCAAGGGATATGTAGGTTAGATATTAGGAAAACTTTCTAACTACACGGGTATTTAAATTATGGAATAGGCTTTGAAGGGAGAATGCGGAATCCCCATCATTGGAGGTGGCCAAACACCTGTCAGGGATGGTCTAAGTTTACTGGTCAAAGGAGTTGGGAGGGCGCTAAACTAATAGCAAAATAGCAAAAGGGGAGAGTAAAAAGAGGGACAATATAAGCACCCAGCACAAAATCGAGATGTTGAGAACAAAATTAATCAAGGAACCAAAGGACATGAAGAGAAGGAATTCTTGATTTGCCTACACACCAATGCTAGGAGCCTGGGTAACAAACACGTTTATGAGCGTAAGTTTGTTCTACTTGGTATTACTGAAACCTGATGGGATGATTCACACAACTGGAATGTTAAAATCAATGGCCATAGCCTAGACATGAAGGATCGAGTGAGCAAAAGGGGAAGGCGAGTGGCACTCTCAAAAATGGCATTACCCATTTTTGAGTCACTGATAACTCGGAAGAAAATGATCTGGAATGCTTATGGAGCAATGTCCTAACAGATAAAGCACAATGCAGGGTATTAGGTGGTGTCTGCTACAGACCACCAAATCACACATAGGAACAGAATGACCATCTCCTTACACACCTATGTATAACATGTAGGAAAAATAGCTGCGTGATCAGGCGGGACTTCAATCTGAGTGACACATGCTGGAGGTCTCATGCTGCCAGCCATGGGTAAAAGTAACATTAAGCAGTTACCAGTATGGGGGTCGACTGGGGTGGGGCTTTAGGCGGAAGGGGCGGGGCGGTAGGAGCAACGGCAGCTAGAGCCCCAGGCCTTTTAAATCATGGCCCTGGGGCAGCTGCTCCTTTTGCCCCCCCACCACCTGTCAGTGGCCCGGGGGGGAGGGGCAAAAGGGGCAATGACATTAAAGCACTGCCGGCTTTAAGCAGGGTCCTTTGCCGCAGCAGCACTTTAACGTCAGCTGAGTACGGGCTGGTACCAGAGGTACACTTTTTACCAATACACCATGCCGGCCCATACTGGTTACTTTCACCCCTGCTGCCAGCACTAAAACATCCTTGGAATTTCTAAACATTAGAGATCACAATTTCCAAACTCAAAATGTGTTGCATCCAACACAGGGGAGTTTTGTATTAGACTTTGTCCTTTCGGATAAAGAGGAACTAATCACAGAACTAAAAATGAATGGTAGCTCAGATACAAGTGATCATGACTTGATCCCATTCATAATGTGCAAACAGATTAAAGTCCAGACCAGTAAAAAAATATATATATATATACTTGGTTCTTTAATAGCCCCAATTTCACAAAACTGAAAACAATTATGAGCCAAGCCAGCTGGGAGGAAGAATTTAATCAGAAAAATGACTATGGTAACTGGGAATTGTTCAATAACATCTTACTATAAGCCCCCAAACCCACAATCCCACAATAGAGGAAGAAGATTGTGCTGGTTAAAAATCTATGTGCTTTAGAGGGCAGCTATAAACATTTTATACATAAACAAACAAAAGAAAGAAAGGGGAAGTTGATAGTAATGAATATAAATCAGAAGTTAGGAACTGTAGAAAATCGATAAGGGAAGCAAAGAGATACAATGAGAACTCTATGGCTAGCAGAGTTAAGGACATTAAGAAGCAAGTTTTTAAATATATTAGGAAAAAAAGAATTCTGACAATGGTATTGATCCATTAATAGATGGACATCGTAGAATTATCAATAATAATGCAGAAAGACAGAGATGTTAAATAAATACTTATGTTCTGTATTCAGGTGAAAAGTAAAATTATATAATGATGATAACACTCTTTCCATTCCACTAGTATCTCTGGAAGATGTTAAACAGAAGCTACTAAAGTCAGACATTTTTAAATCAGCAGATCCACATAACTTGGATCCAAGAGTTTTAAAAGAGCTGGCTGAGAAGCTTGGACCATTAACACTGATTTTTAATGAGCCTTGGAGCACTGGGGAAGTTCCAAAAGACTGCAAGAAAGCTAATGTGAAAATTTTAAAAAGGGCACATGGGATGACCTGGGTAATTATAGGCCTGTCAGCCTGACATCAATCCTGGATAAGATAATGGAGTGGCTGATACATGACTCAATTAATAAAGAATTAAAGGAGAGTGATATAATTATTTCAAATCCACATGGGCTCATGAAAATAGATCCTCTCAAACTAACTGGATATCTTTTTTGATGAGATTATAAATTTGGTTAACAAAGGTAACTGTTGATATAATCTACTTTGACTTCTACAAGATGTTTAACTAAGTACTGCACAACATTTTGATTAAAAAGCAAGAATGATATAAAATGACCATGGCACAAACTGAATGGATTAAAACCTGGCTAACTGACCCAAATGTAATTGTAAAGGGGGAATTGTCATCAAGCAGGTCTGTTTCCAGTGGGGGCCTGCAGGAATCAGTTCTTGGCCCTAGGCTATTTAACATTTTTATCAATGAGCTGGAAGAAAACATAAAATCATCACCGATAAAGTTTGCAGATGACACAAAAATTGGAGGAGTGGTAAATGAACAAGAGGACAGGTCACTCATACAGAGCAATCTGGATTGCTTGGTAAACTGGGCACAAGCAAACAATATGTGTTTTAATACAGCTAAATGGAAATGTACACATCTAGGAGCAAAGAATGCAGGCCATACTGACACAATGGGGGACTCTCTCCTGGGAAACAGAGACTCTGAAAAAGACTTGGGGGTTGTGGTAGATAATCAGCTGAACAGGAGCTCCCACTGCAACGCTGTGGGCAAAAGAGCTAATGCGACCCTGGGAGACATGAATAGGGGAATCTCCAATCAGAGTAGAGAGGTGATTTCTCCTTGTATTCCAGTGCTGGTCGCACCAGTGCCAGATATTGTGTCTAGTTCTGGTGCCCACAATTCAAGAAGGATGTTGATAAATTGGGGAGGGTCCAGACAAGACCCATGAGAATGACTGAAGGATTAGAAAACCTGCTTTACAGTGACCAAGTCAAGGAGC